AAAATACATTCCTTGTGGTTTGAAAGTATATAGTAAAATCAAGAAATTTGTTTTATTCAGGTAACCTGTGTGCTTGTATGCATGTGAACTAGAATATGAAATCACACTCATGGTATAGAATAGAAAAATAGGAATTTAAATATAGTTTTTAATAATTTACAATTAAATTTTAATAATCTTATTTAAAATAGGTCATTTATTAAAGTCGAAGACCCTCACATTGAGTGTTAGTAGTGTAAGTGTAAACTCGTAGTCTGGTTGCCTTCTGCATTATAGGAATGGTGCACAGCACAGCTAGCGTGAGCAGAAAAAAAGAGACCAAATCTTCCCTTGTCTAGCAGATTCTTTGGCTGTGACTCAGAGTTGAAAGGGAAAGTACAGTTTTCTTTTTCATTTTGTAACATTTTCACTTTTTAGTTGTGAGAAAAGGAGTTTAATTATATCTTATTTAATAGTAATAGCTATTAAGTAATAGTTAATTGATTTATTTTTGATCAATTTACTAGGTATACCTATTAAAAATAACATATTTGTGTGTTTCATTTCCAGTGGCACAACTCATTTATTTGTGGCTGACCCTGTATCTTTTACAAATATACCTGAGTTTTTCCCAAGAAATGAGTTTACTTTCTTGTGTAGTGTTCTAGTTCTGAAATTAGATGTTAACACTTCTAAACTTCATTCAAGACAACACATTTTTCTAGGTCTCCAGAATTTATTATTTAGTTTCATTTATCATAATCTCATGTTTCTTGTTGTATACTTATTTTCTATCGCATTTTTCTTTTCCTAATTATCTGAATTTAATACTTCATTTAAAAAATATGTGCTTGTTGTTTTGTAAGCCATATTTTTTCCTTTATATTGTAAATACAGGAAAAGTAGCTAAACTTGTGGGAACTAACATCTTCTCAAACAGTAACTCATTTAAATTGTGTAGCTCAGGAGGACCTACACTCACCTGTGCTCCTGTGCGTACACACACACACACACACACACACACACACTCTCTCTCTCTTTGTCTCTCTCATATAGTTATACAAACTTTGTTACATAAGAGATTAAGCATTGATTAATGGAAAATGCAAGTTTAACATTTGCTTTGATGTATAATATACATCTTTGTAGTCAGACTTCCTTTCCACATGTTTTTTAGAACATTGTAAATGGAATAAAAGCTTGAAGTTGAACTGTATGTTTTGAAATAATTATATTCCTGTTTTGAAGATTAAGATAAGCTTTCAAGAAGAAGGGTTTCTCAATTTGCCTACCCTCCCTGACTCCCTCCCTGACTCCTACCCTCCCTGACTCCCTCCCTCACCTTTTCCTCCCTTCCTTCTCCCTCTCTCCCTTCTCCCTCCCCACCTTTTCCCTTTAAAACAGCAACTGCTGGGGACAAAGATACAAAAACAGCAATTGTTATTTATCTTAGACTTGTCTTCAAAGAATACTTTAAAAGAAAAAATCATCAAGGTTTGCCAAAGATGAAACCTAAAGTGAAATAAAAATTGGATAGCATGAGAAGTTACCAAGCATGATTTAAATCTTTTAAGTGTTCTTCTTGATTTAACAACTGATTTTTCAGAAACTGACACCAAGTGAAGGCAAATATAGTTCATGTAGTGACCAAGGGATGTAATCAAAACTGATATACTAGATGTGAATAGAAGCCTTTAGGATGCTTTCGAAAAGATTTTTTTCTACCCACGAGAACTCTCTCCTGTGATTTCTTGTGCAACAGCTGCAGCACTCTGCTCACAACACAAGCAGCTGACTCTGATGGACACAGCGTGATTTGCTCAGAGGGTGTCACTTTAACTTGATACAGAGTTGCAGAAGCTGGTGTTGCAGTCCAGCAAGAAGTGTACAGATCACCCTCCATTTTGGAAATAAACTTTTAGTTCTCTATTTGTATTTAGGTTTTAAATGGACATATTCCTTCTCTTTCTGGTCCTGTGCTTCATTAGGATGCTAATCATCCTCTTTTCCACTCCACCCAATTTGGTGGACCACGCAAGAGAACTGTTCCAACGGGAAAAGCAAAGAATATGAGAAGACAAAGAAAAAAACTGAATAGGAGCCATCCTCCCCTACAAATGGTCTTATTGATAGTCACAACAGAAAAAGCTAGTGACAGTAGAAGTATGCAATGGAAGCATTCAATGAGGGCTGACTCTTTAGTGTAAAATATAACAAAGTCAATGCAATTGTTATCTTAAAGGGACAAGAATTTGGGATACAGATAGCTTTCTATGGTAGTCCAGGTTTGTTACTAAAAGAGGTCATTTGTGAGAGGGGTGTGGATTATTTTATCTGTTTTCCTCATCCGATATTTTTCAGAGTAAAACATTTAGACATCAAATTATATTACATTAAAATATTTGTCTTAATAGAATATTACTCTAATGCTGTTTAGACATACCAAAGGATGAAAATGATACTATAAAAATTAATGTTTGCTTTAGGTTTACAATATTAGGTTTGGAGCAAATATGTATATGTATATCAACTATTGGAATATTGTATAACAATTTACTAAAATTATTTATTAACATTAGCTAGAGAACCTCAACAGCATTTGAAGTCCCATGTTAGTAAACTACATTCATAAAACACTATAAAAATAAGAAATGGTGAACTAGGATACTGAAAAAGCATTTTGTAAATTTGTGTACCCATTGTAATAAATGGAAACATCCTTAAAATTATAAACCACCTAAAGCTCACACTATATGCTTTCATTTGAATGAATAGGAAACACAAATAGCTTTTACCCAAATATCAGAGAAAAAGCATGACAATATTCACCATATTTTTAATGATACATCAGCAGTAATAGTGATACATTGAGAAAACAGAAAAATCTATTAGATGAATAAAAATTGGAAGAAAAATCATGAGATAATCTCTTTCATATGATACTAAATAAACTCATGAGAGTTAGTGTATGTGCAGCTGGGAGCTGAGAGAATTCACTTAGGGAGGGTAGAAAATTAACAAAAGTTCAACTGTCTATGTATGTACAAAACCTGAGCAGAAGACAGAAGAAAAGCACAGATCTCATTTCTAATATCAACAATAAAAAAATAAATGCCAAGGAACAAATGAATCTGGTGGAAAAAAATATTGTATACTCTTAAGAGACACAATCTTGGATTTAAAAAATGCAAACAGCTGACATGCTTTTGAATTGATGGACTCAATATCACAATGACAGAAATTCCTTTCTTGTTAATGTATGAAATTCATAGAAACCCAATAGAAATGCCAAATGGATTTTGCTCTGAATTTTAAAAAGTTGTTTCTGAAGTTCTTGTGCACACAAGAAAGAATCCAAGGTTATAAAATTAATACTAATGAATAAAGGAGTATGTTATACCAAGCAGTTATCACATCTATAAATCAATATGATTCAAAAAATAAATAGCCATCAGAACAGAAAAAGAAGAATATGGAGACAGATTCAAACAAATAAGGAAGTTTGGAGTGTGATAAAGTTTAGTATGGGATCATAAATTATTGGTTAAAAGGTAGAGATTTAGTAAGTGCTGTTAGATCAATCAGAAAGCCATTGATAAAAGATAAATGTATACCTCAAGGTACACATCAAAATAAATTTAAAATGGATCAGAAATCCTAATAAAATTTATAAAATTTCCAGAAAAAAAAGCAAGTGAATCCATTTATATCCTTGGAGTGGATTCAATGAGAAGAAAGATTTGTACTAATAGTGTTTGGACAGGATATCATGTCTGCATCTTGTACTATGAATAACCACTATGAAGACAGCAATATGCAGTATATTAATTATTAAAACTGTGCTATTGGGGCTGGGGAGATGGCTCAGTGGAATAAGCGCTTCCCTGGTAAGCGCAAGGGCCTGAGTTCAATCCCTGGTTCTGGAAAAACAAAACAAAACAAAAAAACCCAAAAACTGTGCTATTAATAGGTTTTGAAACTATCTCATTGCTATTCTTTTCTCAATAAAATTTAAAAAAAAACACAAAAAAACCCTTTGAGTGGTGAAAGATTTTCTATTACAAATCAGAACTCAGAAGCTGAAAATAGAAAAGGTTTGTCAAGTAGTAAGTAGTATATCGCCAAAGGAGAAACACAACAAGAAAAAAAAATCTTCCTATAACAAAAAACATGAAAAAGCAAAAGACAAATTATTTCATTGGGTGCACTTTGCCACTTATTTTACTAATAAACATGAAAAAAATCACTAAAAAATGTTAAAAATAAACATTTAGCTGGGTGTGGTTTCACACCTGGTAATCCCAACACTCAAGAAACTGAGGCAGAAGGATTGCCCAGAGTTCAAGGTCAGCCTGGGATACATGGGGAGAGTCTGCCTCAAGGAAAAAAAATAGAAAAAGAAAGAAATGAACAGTTGACAGAAAGGGCAATCTAGTTTGCTTAAAAATATGAACCTCACTAATAAAAAGATAAATATGAACTAAAAGTACACATGTATCTTATTGACAGAATTCTAGAGACTGACTGAGTCAATATGTCCTAGGTTTGAAGAATAGAGTGCATATATTGCTGGGGAGACTATAAAATCTTTCAAACTGTGTAGAAAGAAAGCTGACAGTATGTGAGAAGACTAGCCATGCATAGACTCTTTGACCAAGGAATTGCATTCAGAAATCCTGAAGATACATTTGTCTAAAAAAATGCATATACTCACATGAAAATCCATAGGCATAATTTTATGATATTATTTTAATAGCTAAATTTTGGGAACCAACTAAATGTCCATCGGTTGGGGATTAATTTAATAAATTATTACATATCCAAGTCAAATGACTTCCAAAACAAATTGATACATTCTATAAAGCACCAATGAATAACATCAGCTATAACTTTCTTATGTAAAATGGTATTCCTACAAATGTAAACATAGTTTTTGAAAAGTGAACCACAATAAAAAAGTAGATTAAATTACTACAATAACAGAGCCTCCAGAGCCTTAAGGAAATATTGCTTTTACTTACGGTTTACACTTTTGACTGGTAATATTGGGTTTACCCTCTCTGGGGAGGCAGCGTTTTCCTCGTCCGTCACGTACTCAAAATTAATGATGAACATCATAGCCACACCCTCTTGGTTTTTCACTGGAATTATGTGGGTGTTACAAATGAAAGTAGACCCTGAGGAGAAGAAAAATAAGCATTAGATAAAAACTGTGACTTCATTTTGAACCATCAATAATATTCCATTTAAAATACACTCTTGCAGAATATTCTTACAATAACCTCAGAAATTCAATAAAATAATTTAATTTTGTTTTATATTTTTTGATACTATCTTTTTAAAAATGATTTTATTAAGAAATAAATAGCAATGAGACAGTTTCAAAACCAATTAGTAGGAAAGTTTCAATAATTAATACATTGGATATTATTGTCTTCATAGTGGCTATTCATAGTAAAGATGCAGTTATCATATCCCGTCCACAAATATTATAGCACAAATCTTTATATTCATTGAATTAAGAGAAAGTAGCTGTATATTTATCATAACTATTTTGAATATACAGATACAAAATGGTCTTTAATTTGTATCCCCTTTTTTTGTTTAGTTTTACCAGATGTGGGTATTCCATTGTCATTTAAATATTGTAGGTGCATAAATTCAGCAAAATATTCTAATATAGTCCAGTAGTCCATAGTATCCGTAGGACTGGCAATGTCAGAAGTTGTTGCCTTGAGTCTTTTGCAGCTCAGCATATTAATTGCTTCATATTTTAAAGCATACATTTTTTAAAATTTTTTAGACTTTTCTTTAAAGTTTTATTAGTACAGTTTATTTTAAAAATAACACTTAATATAAATACACATATCACATTACCATGTATTGTTCATAATATAACCAGCGGAATCTGATCCTTTCATCTTTTTCCATAATTTTATTGAGAAACAAATAGCAATGAGACAGTTTCAAACCAAATTGGTAGGACAGTTTCAATAATTCACACATTGCATACATTCTTCCTAGTGGTTAATTGCTGTACAAGATGCGGACTTGATATCCTATTTACAAACACCATTAGAACAAATCCCTCTATTCATTAAGAGAATGTAACTATATATCTATCCTAACCATTTTGAATACACAGATACAAAATGGACATTCATTTGTACCCCCTTTTTGTTTAGTTCCGTCATTTGAATATTATGGGTGTGTTAACTCAGCAAAATATTCTAAAAGAGTCCAGTAGTCCACAATAGTATTGGGTCTTCTGCTTCTGACAAAGCATGCATATTTATATATGAAGAAAAATACATAAATATTTTACAATAATTAAGTTAGTATATTGTGTTAAAACAATATGAAATTCTACTAGGTTTCAAACCCATTCTTATAATAGTTGATATAGGAAAAAAAGAAATATTAAGAATATGAAAAATATTAGCCTGTATTTTATATATTTGTATTAAATTCAAACCTGTATGAAATATAGCTGCATAAACAATAAAGGTAACTCATACTATATCATCTTGATTTTATCATTAAATTAATTTTATCTTTTTTTCTCCTTCAATTTCTTGGAAATAGAGTAGTAAACTGTTCATTTCATCTTGGATATATTTCAAAAATTGTTCAAAACTAACAATATCTAAATTTCGATGTTTTATTTGCTTTTTTAATCTGATAGAAAAATAAGAACATTAAGTTTGATCCCTGGTTACGAAAAAAAAAAAAAAAAGAAAAGAAAAGAAAAAAGAAAAACAAAAAATAAGAACAAATTTTTGTCTTTATTATCCTGTTAATTTGACACTTTACTATCTTGAGCTTTGGCATTCTTTAAATCACTCATCTTCTAATTAGGTGACTTCTACTACTCTCTTTTGAGATGACATCCAGTATTTCCTGTTAAAATGAGTTCTCGAATTCCCTATTAAAATGACCTCTGGTAGTTTCTCAAAGCAATTTCTTTATATCCTCAATATTTGAAATTTTTCCTCTGATAGTAGTACAAATCTTCATGCTGGGGCTCAAAAGTATTGTTTGAAGTGTGATAAAAAATGGTATATGTTTATATAAAAATGTATTGCAGTGAAACATTACCATAAACATCGTCCAAACACACAAGTACTATTCTCCCTTTAAACAAGCTTATTCCATCTTTCTTGCCTCTTTCCGAAGGAGTTCTAGAAGTCAATTTTTTTGAGTGTCTTTAGTTGTACTGTCTAGCTGCCCGAATATTCTAAGTCAACTTAAAATATTTACTCTTGATGGTCTTTTTGACTTTGGGGAAGAAATTGAAGTTCCAAATTGCATAGTGTCAAATCCAGTGACTAAGGTGGAAGATGAAAAATTAATATTTGTTTTTTAAAAATAATTATTATTTTATTAATTTTATTGAGAAACAAATAGCAATGAGACAGTTTTGAAACCAATTAGTAGGACAGTCTCAATAATTAATGCATTGCATATTGTTATCTTTGTAGTGGTTATTCATATCTTGTACTATGAATGTACCAATTTCTGACATTGCCAGTCAAGCAGAAGACCCAGTACTATTATGGACTACTGAACTCTTTTAGACTATTTTGCTGAGTTTATACACCTATAATATTTAAATGATGGAACTTAACAAAAAAAGGGGATACAGATGAATGTCCATTTTGTATCTGTGTATTCAAAATGGTTAGGATAGATATATAGATACATTCTCTTAATGAATAGAGGGATTTGTTCTAATGGTGTTTGTAAATAGGATATCAAGTCCGCATCTTGTACAGCAATTAACCACTAGGAAGAATGTGTGCAATGTGTGAATTATTGAAACTGTCCTACCAATTTGGTTTGAAACTGTCTCATTGTTATTTGTTTCTCAATAAAATTATGGAAAAAAATAAAAGTCTATCATAATACTTAAAAAAAAAGATTCAAAATGATATCCTGTCCAAACGCTATTAGCACAAATCTTTCTTCTCACTGAATTAAGAGAAAGTAGCTGTGTATCTATCCCAACTATTTTGTATATATAGATAGAAAATGGTTATTCATTTATATCCCCTTTTTCATTTAGTTTTGTCAGAGATGGGTATTTCAAAAATCTAATATTTGTTCCAGCCTGCTTTTTCATTCAATGGCAACTGACAACAGTGTTCACCCTTTGATCAGAATTCATGAAGGTGCTCATGAAAGAAGTCTTGAAGAACAGCTACAGATAGTGGCAAGAATGACGGCCTAAGTGTGTCTGGGGGTGAATTGATGACAGCGTGTCTTGTTGTAATGAATATTTGTATTCAAGCATTCACTCTAAGTTTTGACCACCTCTAGCATTTTTTAAATGTAAAAACTTCAGAAAGTACTCTTGATCTCTCAAAAAATAGTGTAAGTTTTTATTTTGCTGAGATAATTTTGCATCTGTTAGAGAGTAATAGTTCAATGTAGAGGAAGAAGTAAGTCCAAAACAAGGCTGGCCTGGCAGGAACTTCAGAGGCTGAGTGTGGGGACATTCGCAGATAAATGAAGAAGAGAGTTGGAACCCCTAACATTCACAAGGGACAGTGGATGCTAACATTCCAAAATGACATCCCCTCCGTCTCTGACTAGAAAGGGAAACAAGTAAGAAATAAGTCTCCTCCTTCCCCCTGGCTCTTGCTACTAGAGCTGGTAACAAAATCTTTTATGGAAACCGTGCTACTGTAGACCAACAATATCACAAAGAACAACTTCTGAGGGTTGGCTTGGAGATTTAAGAACGACTTGTGAAAATACATCAGTGAGTAAATTTGTGCTCGTGGCCAAAGCACTGATTTACATACATGCTTGTAGGACACAGATTCATAGGCTGTTCGTTAGGGATGACTTTGTTTTAGTTATAAATTTGATTTTTCCAATATGGATAGTGTCCTAAATTTAAAGTGAAGAAGACATTGAAAACTGTGCTTTAATAGTGACATGCCACACTTTCAGCGGAAGCTACATCTTCAATTCATTTAAAAAATAGTTAGCACGAGCACTTGTCATGGTTTCCATGGAAACAGGTGGGCTGAATTTAGTAAACAGAAAATAAGCAATTTAAGGCTGTTCCATTAGAATTAAATATAGAAGTGCTTCAGGCAAGGCATCACAATACACACTGGCTACCCAGAGAGTCTGAAGAGATGTGAGAAATAGCCATTATGTACTTTCCTAATGAACCAAAATACATATTGATTTTACTACTTAAAATGACGTTTCCTGGATCACTTAGACTGTCATTGTGAATACACAGATTTGTTGCTTAACAGTTTCAAATCTTTCAACATTTGGGGTATACTGCTGGTTGCAAAACAAAATATAAAACAGATTTTGAGAAACCAATAAATAAAAATATGAGGATAGACATCTAATAAGTCTGTACTAGAACAGAGTGATTTTGCTTTTGGAAATGAAAGGAAAAATCATGGCTTTCCATACAAATGTAGGTTTAAAAATTTATAACCTAGGATTTAAAATCATAAAATTATAGTGCTCCATAAAAAGTCTAGGTATATGCATTGGTTCCATGGCATACTGAACAAGTTTAATTAATCTGGTATTTCCAGACTACTATCATGTTTCTATTAAGTAATATATCTCATTTACAGTCAACTGGAGGCACACATTTACGTGTTTTCATTTTTAGTTTTGGGATTTAATATTGCCATCAATCTTGCATGGCCTCCCAGAAAGCAGACAATGAAAGGAGATGCACTGAATTTAGAAGAGGAGAATAGATCACATTTTATACTGCAAAAATATGTTAGCTTGGATAATTCACCACCTCCACGTTCTGTCAGGATACTACTTTGGAATATGGATTTTCCCTAAGATTCATCACTGTGTGCTGCTGAATAATTTTTTCTTAATGAAATACTGGGAACAAAAGCAATGACATCAAAATACAGGCAGTAGTAATTTATCATAAAAGAAAATAGACATATACAATAATATTTAAAGAAAAAACTAAACAAATATGGAAAATACTTTGTCAAAATTCATATTATATTCATATGAAATTAAGGGACATTTGCTAACAATGTATTTACTATGATAACCATTAATTATAAAGTTGTACATGTGGCTATACTGTACTTCTATTATTTAGATTTTGGTCCATTTCTGTATTTTATCTCCTAAGTGAAAACATTCCCAAAATTGGGAAGCATAT